TATTTCATCTCTAACTCATCCATCCAAAGTTCAAACAAATCTGCTATCTTTTCAGAATAGCCTACTTCCAACACTTCGAGTATATATGGAATGCTATCTCTGGCATGATTGTCCTNAATGTGAAATTTTTGGTTATTTGATTCTTANNGCTTTTAATTTCGCTCCAAATACTTGCTTTTACAGATCTATTTTTTCTCGTGATGTATATGTTGGAACACAAGAAATATCATATCTTTTCTTTGATCACAATGACAGCTCTAACAGCAAAAAAGGAATAGAGAAATATGATAATTCAAAGCAATATGTACATTTATTAAGAATAATCCATTATTTATTCCGAATCAATGATTTTCATGAAAATAATGTTTGCTTTCAAATTTCTGAATCTCAGAATGAACGAAATCCTGGCAAAATCTTAGATATGAAAATTATTGATTTGTTTACTTCATTTTATGTGTTAAATGTTCATGATGTAATTGAAAAATATCATAGTGAAACTCATTCGTACCTTGATATGGCATTTAATGTTAAACAAGAAATTGATTTTCTTGGATTAACAGCAGAATCATTGAATTTGCTTTTTTCAAACAATCAAAATTCTATTTTTGAAACATTTGTTAAATATAAATGTATTGATATTAATCCTTTTATCACAAATATTATTCACGAAATCGATAATATTCCAAAAGTGCATAGAATTATTCAATTCCTTTTACAATATATAACAATTGACATCTCTCGAAAATCAATGAACGATATTATTGCATATTTCGTCAATCAAATTCAGCAATGTTTTTTCAGTAGTAATCGGAAATTACAGGAAAATGCCTTTACCGATCAAAGAGTTGATGTTATCCGCAAAGAAGCCAAAAATGTATATCAAACACAAATTGAAGCATTAATATTATTTATACTCTCAACATTTTATGTAGGCCCTAATACAAGTACTGATATTGAAAATCGAAATTCTTCTGAACGACTCTACATTATTAATTTAAATATTAAAGATCTTCTCAAAGATTTTGTTCAACATGAAAATGATCCTTGTTTTATTCTTGACAACAATCAACATCTAACACAAATTGAAAATGATATTGTTTGTGATGTGAAAAATAGTATTTTAAGTTTTCTTAAAATTAGTAACTTTACAAAATATATTCAAGAAAAAATTACAACTCAAACATTTTCTGGATCACCAGAAGATATCCAAAATATAATTTATAATGCATTTCATCTTCACAATGTTATTATTAGTGAAAAGACTAAAGGATGTGCACTTGTTATAACAAATAACAATTGTGACTATTCAATAGAAGAGAATTGGAATGATCTCAATCAATATTTACTTGGAAATCGTGTAATTGTTCATACAATCTATAAAATAATTGATAAATTATATAAGCTTCCTTCTCTCACTGATTATCTTGGACTTTTTGGACTTTTATATGCTCGCGAGTCCGTTAAAGCATATAAAAATTTAATGAAAGAAATTATATTTCAATATAAACAACAACAAAAACATAATCAACATGGAAACTTATTTGAATATATTCAAAATATTAATCTCATGATATTGCCAAAAAATTCTAATCAAGTTCGCATTGAATCTAATTCTGAATTTCTGAATATGATATTGAATTCAAACAAAAGCTATTCATTTTGGATCTCATACTTTCCTCCTTCAAAGAAAGTACAATCTGATCTTCAAAATCAANATAATGATCTTTATATCTATGCAAATCCTTTTGATTTTGATCTTATGATTCTCATTCTCAAAGTAAATAATTTCCAACGTTGTGATGACGTGACTTCGAATGATTTCCGGAAATATCAATTTAAAAGAGAATAGAATCCTTAATTTCGAAANATTGCTAATGAAATGTAATTTTTATCTTTTTCCATCTTACATCATAATCACATGGAAATTCGATGTGAAAAAATGCTTTACGATACTTAATATTTATGAAGTTAATAAAAATTTCTACCAAATTCATCATTCCGACGACTTTTTACATTATTATAAAATAAACTTATTAATAAAGTGTTATTCAAAAGNACAGGGAAATGAGATAAATCATTTATCATAAATGAGGAAAATTNGTTTGATGTAAAACTGAATATGATAGATATTCATTTTCCTATGAGTTTTGTAATTGTGAAGAGAAAGGTCAAATAAAGGCCAAAAGTGGAAAAAATCTAATGCGTAAATAAATGTATTGAAATATCAAGGATGATTAGATAGATTTTATAAAATTTGGTTGATTAGATCTTCAGATGAGGTACTTTTCCAAAACATATCATATTATTCTATTTTCTTTTCATATATATTTAACTGGTGAACTGAGACATAGGCTAACTCTTATTGAGACCATTCCTAATACTTCAGGAAGTTCTGTGGACCAAGTGGTCGAAGGCAGCCGACCTAGAATCGGTTTATCGTGGGTTCGAATCCCACTAGAACTATTTTTAGAATTTCACACAAATTGATGTAAATCATTTAAAAACTTTGTATGTCACCTTGAAATTAGTCAATTTCAATACCTAAAGACAAAATTTTAAAATGACTAAATAAGGTCAATATCATCTACCAAATGAATCAAACAAAGAAAAAATTCATTTCCTCGAAGCTTCGACATCTTTCAAGACCAGATTTCCAAGATGAATGGAGNTCCATATCAAAAAGTTTAGATTTAATATTCGACGACAANCCCGAGAAAATTTCCATCATTCGCTTATCTAGAATTATTTATAAGCTTTGCAGTTATGGTCTGACAGGGAATATAATTGAACAGATGCAACGTAAGTTTTCACGATATTTTAAGAAGTTTTTAAACGAATCGCTACAGACATACGACATGGACAGTCCGAATGCCGAATTTTTAGCCAGAGATTTTATTTTAAAGACAGGAGTAATAATGCCACGATTTCAACAAGTTTCTTCCGCAATTAGCACAGTATTTACCAGCTTATCCATATATAAAGGAAATTTCAGTATTTCTGACGTTTTACATGAGAGTTTTAGAGAAATTATTTCAAATACAAATTATTATCAATATATTCTTTTTTCAATTTGTAAATTNTTTGATTCATTTCTTGATGAATTTCAAATTGAAACTTTTCGAGAAGATCCACTTTTTATTAGTGTTAAATCAACAAAAACTTTTGTTTCTTATGCATCACCAGAAAATTTAAATAGAGTCAGAGATACTCTCACTCATCAATGTATGAATTTCTTTCAGCAGTTTGTTTCGAATTTCTATAAACAAATTGTTCCACCTCAACCACTCGAAAGTATNATTGAAGAAGANGATGAAGAACCCGACACAAGCATCTTTGCTGGCCGTGGACATTTCATTGCTGAAGAAAAACCACCATTTGATCCAATTCCTCACATTCTTGAATATTGTGATGAAGGAAGCAGACTTATTGAATTAGAATATCAAATTATTGAAGAAATATTTGATTTATCTCTTGCTTCAATTATTAAACANAAAGCTTACAAAGAATTAAGTAATCCAAAATCAGAAACTTTTTTGGTTTGTCTTGAATACATCAATANTTTGTTAAAAGAAAGGCGTTTTGATGATTATAAAAAATTTTTCGATTTAGCTAGTCATGATAGTACTGCAATAAATAATTTATTTCATAAAATGATTGAACAACTTTCAAATGAATCCACCAAAATTCCAGAATTAGCAGAAACAATTGCTTTTTATCAAAAAGTTGGCGAACTATTCAAAACAGTTAAAAAAGAATATATGGATAATACGAATAAATCACTTACAAAATTAATAAATGGTGATTGGAAAACAGTATTGAAAGGTCTCCTTGTAACAATTAATGAAGNTGCTTTAANAGATTCCGATATATCGAAAATTTTACCAATTATTTCATTTTTCCAAATGAAAACAGATCTGGAGTTAATGCATATAAAACAAGCAGCTAAAAGGTTAACCAAGAATAGAAGTGACCAAATTGATAAAGNATATTCAATTATGGAGCAATTAGATTCAGTTCGTCCTCAACTTCAGCTTGAATCTTTACGTGCATTAATTAATGATGCTGCAAAATCTCTTGAGCAAAATCATTTTGGCCCTGTTTTAATTTTAAATTCAAGATCATGGCCATATAAACCCCCTTATCCATCACCTGTAAATTTACGAGAAATAACTGCAAAAATTTCGACCCAGTATGTAAAAATTCATCAAACACATGAATTACATTTCCCGATTAATTATTGGATAGTGAGTGTAAAAGATACAACAACTTCTATTGTTTATAATGGTACTGGTGTTCAAGCTGAAATATTTTTATATTTAAATACACATAAAATTATTACAGATACTTCCATGGAACCTCATATTAATCAATCTTTCTTAGGTGCTGCATTAAAATCAATGACACATAAAACAGCACCCGTTCTAAAAGTACAAGAAGGTGTTTATTCATTGAATGAAAGATACAAAGCGCGAGAAAAAGTCATCAAATTACAGCCACCATCAGTTAAAGATGAATTACAAACTGCAAAAGATGTCGAAAAATCAAAAGGCGATATGATTGATGCTGCTGTTGTAAAGAAAATGAAAGAAAGAAGAGTTATGCATTTCAAAGACCTCGATATTTATATTAAAGAAGAATTAGCATCAAAAGTACCAGTGAGTACAGATGAAATCCGAAAAAGGGTTGATCAATTAATCATTCGTAATTATTTAGAAGAGATGAGTTCTGGAAGATTAGGATATATCCCATAATTCATGAACCAAACTTTTTTCTTTTTGTCCTACACTTTTTTAACGTAAAAAAAATCACTTTTTTCTCACGTCAAAACTGAAAATTTTCACTTCGTGTTCTGTTTTTGATCTACTTTCTGATGTACTTTTTGGTGTACTATTTGCTCTCTTTTCTGATCTTCTTTTTGATGTGATTTTTATTGACTTATTTATTTGCGGTTTTTAGAAAGTTTTTTTTAGAATTTTGAAAGAAAAACGCTAAAAGAAATTTTATATAATTGAAAGAAAATGATCGATTTAGCCTTTTTGCGGATGAAACATTTGGATTGTTAACCTCTCGACGATAAATTAATGTTTTTGTTAATTTCCTTTGACAGACAAATCGTGAAATTGCAACTTACATCATACACAATTTTTTTTTGTTGATGATTTTTCTTTTGAAATCATCAATTTTATTCAATTTTGATGGGATTTGATCGTCATAACTCTAAATTTTTGAATCACATTATTTGAATATAAATTTTGACAGAAAGTACAAAGTATTAATTTATATTTCACTACAAATAAATATGACAAAAAGACTTTTGAGGGAAAATTAATTTTTTTATACAAATAATTATGTGAAACCTTCTAACTTTTTCAATGAAAATGGAAAAATAATTAACCAAAATTAATTTCGTTTTCTTGATAAAATTTCAGAAGGTCTGTCTGGTTTTTGAAAACATGAAAATTTTTGAGACCCTGGCCTTGGTTTGGTCAATTTTTTTATTTTATTATGTCATCCGCATACGTTCCACCTCATCTGAGGGCACAACAACAACAACAACAACAGCAACAAAACGATGGATATCAACAGCAGCAAAATGGTTCTTATCAACAACAAAATAATCAGCCTCGCCAACCACAAAACGCTGTCTACGCGCCACAGCAAACGAACAACAATTACAACAATCAAGATCGTCAACCACATTTCGCCCCACAAGCGTATCAACCACCAAACAACCGCCGAAACAACCTAAATCGAAATATCAGTCGATCATATTCAGTACCCGGCCAACTAAATTCCGTCGCCGATTCGGTTGTCGAAGAAAGATTCGCACAGAATGAAGACACGTCTGACATGTCTGTCTATGATGGAGCCGACGTTGTCGTTCATTCAAATCAAGAAATCGAACCAATCACTCAATTCCCCGGTTGTGGGATCAGAAATGAAATTCTCTTATCCGTCGCTAACATTGGCTTCAAATCACCGACATCTGTTCAGAAATATGCGATTCCATATATTCTCGCTCATCACGACGTACTTGTGACTTCGCAAACAGGCAGCGGAAAAACAGCAGCATATATGCTACCCGTCATTAGCCAGATTATTAACCAGCAGCGAACGAGGGATCCAATGGTAGTTGCCCTTGTTCCAACTCGCGAACTCGCTCTTCAAATTCAAACAGAGACTAACAAATTCACAAATGGGACAGGTCTGAAGACCGTTTGTGTTTTCGGCGGCGCTCCAATGAACGACCAGCTTCGGCAATTAAAATGGTCTTGTGACATTTTAATTGCAACCCCGGGACGCCTCATCGATATTATGACACGCGGACAGTCTTCGCTGAGCTGTGTCCAGCATCTGATTTTGGATGAAGCGGACCGAATGCTAGACATGGGCTTCGAGCCACAGATCGATGAGGTCATTAACGGTTTTGACATGCCTTCTCCTGAAAACCGCCAAACCCTTCTTTTCTCAGCAACCTTCCCAATCGAAGTCCAGAATCTTGCGCGCCGCTTTATGCGGGCGGACGTCACCCGAATCGAAGTTGGAATGCAGGACGCGCCTTCCCTCATCCAGCAGCGCTTCATGTATGTCCCAGAGAACTCCAAGCTCTCCGCGCTGCAAGAAATCATCGCCGAAGTCGAGGGCCAAACCCTGGTCTTCGCCGAGCGGAAAGTGAAGGTCGACCACATAGAGGAGTTCCTCTACGAGGAAGGATGCCACGTCGTTGCAATCCACGGAGACAGAGACATGCAGGACCGCCGCGCCGCGCTCAGAGGCTTCACGAACGGTCTCGCAAAGATCATGATCGCTACAGACGTGGCTGCACGAGGAATTGATATTCCGAGCGTGGCTCACGTAGTAAACCTCGATCTTCCAACAGACGTCGACTCTTACATCCACAGAATCGGAAGAACTGGTCGCGCAGGCAAACATGGAATTGCAACGTCGTTCTGGAACGAAAGCAACGCGTCATTCCTCATTGCGCTGATCAGCCACTTCAGACAGAACAGGCAGCCGATCCCCGAGGGACTCGAGGAGTTCGAGCGAGAAAATAGGAAGAACTCCGGTGGAGGACCGCGCGGAAGCCGGGGTGGACGCGGCGGAAGAGGGGGAAGAGGAAATTTCCCGAGAGACCGCTCATACAATAATGTTTCTTATAGATATTATTAATGTGTATCATCGCTATCTTACAGAATAAAACGTAAATGAATGTTTTTACACAAATTGCCAAACTTTTCTTTTTTCATTCCATTTTCTTTCTTTATGATGATTGTTTCTAGAATGTTATTACTTTTCTTTTTACTCATTAACAATACAAGATATTCACTTACCTCATAATTTCAACAAAGTCTTCATCACAAGAATCTTCACGCCATATGATACGGTTTTAAATTCCCACACTTTTCTTCCGAATTAAAAAAATGGCTTATCGAAAATCTATAACTTTTAAATGAATTCCATTA